AGCCGGGAGCCCGATGTGGGACTCGATCCCAGGACTCTGGGACCATGACCTGAGCCGAAGGCAGTTGCTTAACCAACTGAGCCACCCAGGCGCCCTTGAGAGCCTTATTCTTAAGGCATCTTTTTGGAAGACTTCTCTGAACTCCCCAACTTAAGTGAACCGTTTTTGTCTCTTTACTACCAGTGTATTCTCCACCAAAATCCTGCAGTTCTTATTCCTTACAATTGTACGTTAGTGTTACTCTCTTTAGCTCCACCACTGTTACCTTAGTTCAGGACTTTGTCCTTTCTCACTTGGATTACTGTAGTAGTGTCTGAATTGGTTTCCATGTTTCTAGTCTGTCCTCCTTCCAATACAGTCTCCACACTACAAGCTTCAGTGGGGTTTTGTTTATGTTATTTTATTGTTATTTTCCTAAAATGCAAATGTGATTCCTCTCTTCATTAGTTTGGAACTGTCATATGGCATATAAGACCTGCCATAAGTTAGTCCATCTCTTCAGCCTCATCTCTTGTCACTCTTAAATTCTCACCTTTCTAAACTATTTGTAGAGTTCATCTTTGGCACATACTGTCCTCTGCCTGAAATGTCCGCTTTGCTTGGATAACTCTTGTTTGTCTTTAAGACTGGGCACATTTTAACCTGTAAGTCTCTCTTAACATTTTTTCCTGTCAAATGAGAACTGGTTCTTTTTCTCTTATTTTCTGATAATAATTATGATACATGGCCATTGTAGACAATGAAGTAATCCAAAAGAATCTGAAGAATAAAATAACAATCACCTAAAATCATAACACCTAGATTAAGACTTTAAAGTTTCACCATCATCATTAAAACTTTGGTGAGCAGAGCTTATCTTGTTCTCTGCCCCTAAATTAAGAAAACAAACAAACACAACAACACATAATATAAAACGTACATACTTTTTTATAACCTATTTTGTTGTATAACATTGAGATGTGTTTCCTTGTCTAATGGAATTACACATCATCATTTTCAGTGGCTATACAGTATTTCATTGTAATGAAAAAATCATTATTTATCTAGTCTTATTTTGGTAGGTATTTAGTGTGTTATATTAGTTCAACCAGAGAAGCAGAAACTGTAGGATCTTGATCTCTAGCTCTAGCTTTGGCTCTTGCTCTAGCTTTGTATCTATGTCTACACACATATGCATGCACACACATACACAAGGAATCGGCTTGTGCTGTTGTGGGGGTTGGCCAACCAAGGACCATGTTCATAAAGTAGGCAGCCAGGAAGGGGGGATTCAGGAGGAAGAAAAGGCACATGCAG